TGTTTGAACATTTTGTCCCCAACTGGTAACACTGTGTTAAGAGATCAAGGGCCACAAACATATGGAAATTAAACAGTGCTACCTGAATCATCAATGGGTCAAGGAAGAAATAAAGGGAGAAATTAAAGACTTCACAAAAGTTAATTAAAATGACCACACAACATACCCAAATTTGTAGAACACAATGAAAGCAGTGTTAAGAGGAAAGTACATTGCACTAAAGGCCTACATAAAGAAGCTGGAAAAATCATAGAGTAGTGAATTAACAGAACATTTGAAAACATTAGAACAAAAAGAAGCAAACTCACCCCAGAGAACTAGATGGCAGGAAATAATCAAGTTGAGAGCTGAAATCAACAAAATAAAAACAAAGTAAACAATACAAAGAATTGATGAGACAAAGAGTTTGTTCTTTGAGAATCAACAAAATAGACAAACCTTTATCCAAATTAACCAAAAGGCAGAGAGAGAATATCTAAATAAACAAAATGAGAAATTGTTGCAGAGCCTTTCCTCCAAGCCTTCACTGGGTGTAAACAGTTGGTCATGATGCTGCTTTGCTGGGCAGTCAGCTCTTTACTTTTCATGGCGAGGGAAGGCTAAAACGGGAAATTCAAGAGACCTCAGCTTTCGAAGTGACCAAATGCTTTTTATGAAAACAGGATTCATTTTGTATTTCCAAATATATCTTTTATGTCTTTGTTTTGGGGTCGAGAAAACAAACCTCTGCCTAATACAAAAAGGAATTTATTGTAGCCTTTCTGAGTTATTTCTGCTCATGGCAGTAAGGATTCTCTCACAGTATTAAGGCCTGTCTGCATGGGAATGGTCGATTAATGACTGCTAACCCCAGGCACCAGACCCCAGGCTTCTTCAAAACAAGCTTTCTTCTATTCAAACATTTGCTCTTCCTCTTCATCTGCTTCTTCAATGACCTGAATCTCATCTGCTTGAGGTAAGGAGGTACTCTCCACCTGTAGTTTGTTCCCCTCAGCTTTACGCCTTTCTTCTTCTTCTCTGATTTCTTTCCATATCTTGTGGTTTTCAGTGAGGTGGTGCATTAACTGAGAAAATTTCTGCCGCCTGCCTTTCCTTATCTGTGGTTTGAGATTTAGATTGTTTTCTGTTTCTTCATCATCTGAATCTAATTCTTCACCACGAACATCATCATCTGGGCTTTGCTGTCCTGGCAGTTCTCACTCCTAAGCATTTTCATCACAAACTAGAGTTGGCTGCAGCTGACAAGAAATGAAAAGGGGGGCATAACAACAGACATGGAGGAAATACAGAGAATCATCAGGTCATATTTTGAAAACCTGTACTCCACAAAATTGGAAAACTTAAAGAAAATAAATATTACTTACCGAAATTAAATCAAGACTAGATAAGCAAATTAAACAGACCTATAACTGCTAAAGAAATAGAAACAGTCATCAAAAGTCTCCCAGTCAAAAAAAGTCCAGGACTAGATGGTTTTAGCTCAGAATTTTACAAGATTTTCAAAGAACTAATACCAATACTCCTCAAATAGTTCCACATAATAGAAACAGAAGGAACATTGCCAAATTCTTTTTATTATTTATTTATTTATTTATTAAGAATTTCCATCTCTTCCCTGCATCCCTTTTCCCTCTCCCTCCCCACCTCCCCCTCCCTCTCTAGTCTTAAGAGCAGTCAGGGTTCTCTGCTCCATGGGAAGTCCAAGGTCTCCCACCTCCATACAGGTCTATAAAGGTGAGCATCCAAACAAACCAGGCTCCCACAAAGTCAGTCCATGCAGTAGAATAAAAACACAGTGCCATTGTCCTTGGCTTCTCGGTCAGCCTTCATTGCCAGCCATGTTCAGAGTGTCCATTTTGATCACGTGCTCCATCACTCCCTGTCCAGCTGGCCTTGGTGAGCTCCCATTAGATCAGTCCCACTGTCTCAGTGGGTGGACACACCCCTCGTGATCCTGACTTCCTTGCTCACGGTCTCCCTCTTTCTGCTCCTCATTTGGACCTAGGGAGCTGAGTCCAGTGCTCCAATGTGGGTCTCTGTCTCTATCTCCATCCATCGCCAGGTGAAGGTTCTATGGTGATATGCAAGATATTCATCAGTATGGCTATGGGACAAGGCCATTTCAGGCACCCTCTCCTCTGCTGCACAAGGAACAATCTGGGGACCTCTCCTTGG